TTCCTAGTAATCGAAGTTGTGTGTGGTACGGCATTATCATAGTGGAACACAACTCTTGTTCTGTTGACCAATTCTGTTTGTTTTTTTTTGATTGTTTCCTTCAAGCAATCGAGCTATGATCAAAATAAAACCAAATTAACAGTTTCATCAAGCTGAAGCAACTTGTGAAACACAATTTCCTAACAATTCCATCAAACTGGGCTTTGATGTCGGTTGTGAAAGATCCCCCGCTATTAACCATAATTGATTTAATCCATTTGTCTATATTTATCCATTAAATCCATAGTAAATTGTTCTATCCTATTGCGTCTCAACAGCGTTTTTCATACTTAATCAGTCAATCCAATTTCTCTACCTTATTCATATGATATCCAAACATCAACCGTCGTTGTGTAGCCTGCTCTTTTCAAATGATTCTTAACTGATATGTGGTTGATGTTTGATGCTTCCGCGGTTGCTCTACCGGTTACAAAATTTTTTCTAGTTTTTTCGTGAATTGCCTACTAGAACGAAATTTATCTTTGGCATTAAGATTAAGGAAGAGACCCAAACAAGCCAGTTCAGGTCCAGCGTTCACTCACAGCATCCATACACTAAACCTTGTTACTCACAGCATCCATACACTGAACCTTGGTAATAGTAATAAAAAATCTTTTGATTCTACGGGTTTTTCACTCATATTAAAATTAATACAACCTTTCACGCGATTTAGAACTCTTAAAACTGATTCCCAAAAAATGTGGCCTAAATTCTCACATTTCAAACACGTGTTCGTAATTAGATTAGTACTGCCAATATATATAACTACCAACACCAGCTAGTGACAAAAAGTGGACATCTTTTGTATAACCTAATATATTTTTTGGATTTTCATTTATATCATTATTTTACTCAAATATATGATAAATACAAATCTATAATAGACGTATTACAGAGCTAATAAATCTACTGACAATTGTGTTATATACATAAATATAATAAATAGAATTCAGTAGATCACTCTCAGAAGACAGAAGACTAAATATAATTCACAGTCGTGGTAAGACTTTAACAGAGTAGAGGTATTGATTGATATCAACTGGTGTAAAGAAAAAAATAGCAAAGGCACAATATATGTACAGTACATGTCAAGGTCTTTCGTTATCTTAAGCGTATTTTAATTACGGCTTTTGTTAAATAGAAGAAACACTTTTCATATTTTTGTAGTTTAGAAGTATTTGATTGTGCGGTTTTTAGTGGAATCATTAAACTGAGGCTCTATTCTACATACTTGTGATAGATATATTTTATCTATTTTATTATTTCCTATGAGGTTAACAAACGACACGTATTACCTATATTAAATAAATGACAACTGCAAGTATTTAAAAGTTTTTATTTTTAAATGGTATTATATTATACTTAACTTAATACTAAAACATTTTACTTCATTAAAGCAATTAGAATGTAATCAGCATTACACGCGAATACAGAAATATGAACTCCCCAACACGAGACGTAAATTTGTTCAATGTCAAGATATAATTTACGTGCGTGTTTCCTGAACTCATAGACATTATGTGCCTCTTCAAATTGTGAGGAACCAAAAAAAAAAACACCCGTAGAAATGTTATAAAAAAATAATGTAAAACGTATTCAAACATTATGCCACTTGAATTTAATACTCCTTGTAAAACAAATAAAACAACCGCAATATATGCTTAGAAGTTCCGTTTCCTTGTGCCGAACGAAGAAATGTACTGCCTGCCTGCCTGCTGCCATTGAATGCAACCCAGTACGTTGATGCCAGTGTGCAAGTGTTGCCAAATAGCACGAAATTCCCATTGAAGTGAAATATCCGCAAATGAAATGAAAAATTCAGCACGACAAACAAGCAGAATGCAACAGGCTCAACGCCTGGCAGCAATCGCATGTTGCATGCCACTTTTCGAGCCAGACGTGACTCTATTAGGTTTGGCCCCATCCGGCTAAGTCCTTACGTTTTCGTTGATATTTGTTTGCTGTTTGCTGTTTGCTGTAGGTTTTTTATGCTTAAAACATTTTATTTTCTGCTGTAGTATTTGTTTTTTGCTTTAGTTACTTATATTTTGGCTTAAAAGATATTTTTATTGTTTTTTAATGTTGCCGCTTATAATTTCGTTGTTAGTTAAATGTGACTCGGTGCGGTTCGGATTAAATTCTCTGGCAAAGTTTCAAGTGCACAATTTGGTGAAGTGTTAAAAAGGGCATTTATTTGAGTTTTGATAAATGATATTTTGCCATTATTGCAATAATTGCAAAGCAAACATGAACATTGAATCAACAATAGTCTGCAGTCAAAGGAATTGAATCAAATGTAATTGCAATGGATTAAGAGGGCAGAAGTGAATTGCGTTTCATATACATTAAGACCGAAAAGTTTTCGGAAATTCTCATTTAAAATTCGCGCGCTGTATATT